CATCGATATCTCAATCTAAACTTTAATCGGTTCAATTGACGCTGGCGGCGTTAATTGCTTAGCGCATCACGTGGCAGGGGAGGGAAGGAAATTGGCGATGAAAAAGAGGAGGTGAAGTTATGAGAGAGAGAAACGGAAATAAGTTAAGGAGAGGGAGACTGCCTTCATGTACAGAAGCGGTGCTGAGTCTCTGTGCAGTGTTGACTGACTGGCAGTGTTGAGTCTACGGGCGATATTGAGTGTACGGGCGATGTTGATTCTACAGGCGATGTTGAGTCTATGGTGCAGTGTTGAGTCTATGGTGCAGTGTTGAGTCTATGGTGCAGTGTTGAGTCGATGGTGCAGTGTTGAGTCGATGGTGCAGTGTTGAGTCGATGGTGCAGTGTTGAGTCTATGGTGCAGTGTTGAGTCTATGGTGCAGTGTTGAGTCTATGGTGCAGTGTTGAGTCTATGGTGCAGTGTTGAGTCTATGGTGCAGTGTTGAGTCGATGGTGCAGTGTTGAGTCGATGGTGCAGTGTTGAGTCGATGGTGCAGTGTTGAGTCTATGGTGCAGTGTTGAGTCTATGGTGCAGTGTTGAGTCTATGGTGCAGTGTTGAGTCTATGGTGCAGTGTTGAGTCGATGGTGCAGTGTTGAGTCTATGGTGCAGTGTTGAGTCTATGGTGCAGTGTTGAGTCTATGGTGCAGTGTTGAGTCTATGGTGCAGTGTTGAGTCTATGGTGCAGTGTTGGGTATATGGTGCAGTGCTGAGTCTATGGGGCAGTGTTGAGTCTATGGTGCAGTGCTGAGTCTATGGTGCAGTGCTGAGTCTATGGTGCAGTGCTGAGTCTATGGTGCAGTGTTGAGTCTATGGTGCAGTGTTGAGTCTATGGTGCAGTGTTGGGTATATGGTGCAGTGCTGAGTCTATGGGGCAGTGTTGAGTCTATGGCGCAGTGTTGAGTCTATGGTGCAGTGCTGAGTCTATGGTGCAGTGCTGAGTCTATGGTGCAGTGTTGAGTCTATGTTGCAGTGTTGAGTCTATGGTGCAGTGCTGAGTCTATGGTGCAGTGCTGAGTCTATGGTGCCGTGTTGAGTCTATGGTGCAGTGTTGGGTATATGGGCAGTGCTGAGTCTATGGGGCAGTGTTGAGTCTATGGTGCAGTGCTGAGTCTATGGTGCAGTGCTGAGTCTATGGTGCAGTGCTGAGTCTATGGTGCAGTGTTGAGTCTATGGTGCAGTGTTGGGTATATGGGCAGTGCTGAGTCTATGGGGCAGTGTTGAGTCTATGGTGCAGTGCTGAGTCTATGGTGCAGTGCTGAGTCTATGGTGCAGTGCTGAGTCTATGGTGCAGTGTTGAGTCTATGTTGCAGTGTTGAGTCTATGGTGCAGTGTTGAGTCTATGGTGCAGTGCTGAGTCTATGGTGCAGTGCTGAGTCTATGGTGCAGTGTTGAGTCTATGTTGCAGTGTTGAGTCTATGGTGCAGTGTTGAGTCTATGTTGCAGTGTTGAGTCTATGGTGCAGTGTTGAGTCTATGGTGCAGTGTTGAGTCTATGGTGCAGTGTTGAGTCTATGGTGCAGTGTTGAGTCTATGGTGCAGTGTTGAGTCTATGGTGCAGTGCTGAGTCTATGGTGCAGTGTTGAGTCTATGGTGCAGTGTTGAGTCTATGGTGCAGTGCTGAGTCTATGGTGCAGTGTTGAGTCTATGGTGCAGTGTTGGGTATATGGTGCAGTGTTGGGTATATGGTGCAGTGCTGAGTCTATGGGCAGTGTTGAGTCTATGGTGCAGTGTTGAGTCTATGGTGCAGTGTTGAGTCTATGGTGCAGTGTTGAGTCTATGGTGCAGTGTTGAGTCTATGGTGCAGTGTTGAGTCTATGGTGCAGTGTTGGTATGGTGCAGTGTGAGTCTATGGGCAGTGTTGAGTCTATGGTGCAGTGCTGAGTCTATGGTGCAGTGTGAGTCTATGGTGCAGTGTTGAGTCTATGTGCAGTGTTGAGTCTATGGTGCAGTGTGAGTCTATGGTGCAGTGTGAGTCTATGGTGCAGTGTGAGTCTATGGTGCAGTGTTGAGTCTATGGGCAGTGTTGAGTCTGGTGCAGTGTTGAGTCTATGGTGCAGTGTGAGTCTATGGTGCAGTGCTGAGTCTATGGTGCAGTGCTGAGTCTATGGTGCAGTGCTGAGTCTATGGTGCAGTGTTGAGTCTATGGGCAGTGTTGAGTCTATGGCCAGTGTTGAGTCTATGGGCAGTGTTGAGTCTATGGGCAGTGTTGAGTCTATGGCCAGTGTTGAGTCTATGGGCAGTGTTGAGTCTATGGCCAGTGTTGAGTCTATGGTGCAGTGTTGAGTCTATGGCAGTGTTGAGTCTATGGTGCAGTGTTGAGTCTATGGCCAGTGTTGAGTCTATGGTGCAGTGTTGAGTCTATGGCCAGTGTTGAGTCTATGGTGCAGTGTTGAGTCTATGGCCAGTGCTGAGTCTATGGTGCAGTGTTGAGTCTATGGCCAGTGTTGAGTCTATGGTGCAGTGTTGAGTCTATGGCCAGTGTTGAGTCTATGGGCAGTGTTGAGTCTATGGCCAGTGTTGAGTCTATGGTGCAGTGTTGAGTCTATGGCCAGTGTTGAGTCTATGGGCAGTGCTGAGTCTATGGTGCAGTGTTGAGTCTATGGTGCAGTGTTGAATCCATGGGCAGTGTTGAGTCTATGGACAGTGTTGAGTCTATGGACAGTGTTGAGTCTATGGACAGTGTTGAGTCTATGGTGCAGTGCTGAGTCTATGGACAGTGTTGAGTCTATGGTGCAGTGTTGAGTCTATGGCAGTGTTGAGTCTATGGTTGCAGTGTTGAGTCTATGGTGCAGTGTTGAGTCTATGGTGCAGTGTTGAGTCTATGGTGCAGTGTGGAGTCTATGGTGCAGTGTTGAGTCTATGGTGCAGTGTTGAGTCTATGGTGCAGTGTTGAGTCTATGGACAGTGTTGAGTCTATGGTGCAGTGTTGAGTCTATGGACAGTGTTGAGTCTATGGTGCAGTGTTGAGTCTATGGTGCAGTGTTGGGTATATGGTGCAGTGTTGAGTCTATGGGCAGTGTTGAGTCTATGGTGCAGTGTGAGTCTATGGTGCAGTGTGAGTCTATGGTGCAGTGTTGAGTCTATGTGCAGTGTTGAGTCTATGGTGCAGTGTGAGTCTATGGTGCAGTGTGAGTCTATGGTGCAGTGTGAGTCTATGGTGCAGTGTTGAGTCTATGGGCAGTGTTGAGTCTATGGTGCAGTGTTGAGTCTATGGTGCAGTGTGAGTCTATGGTGCAGTGTGAGTCTATGGTGCAGTGTGAGTCTATGGTGCAGTGTGAGTCTATGGTGCAGTGTTGAGTCTATGGGCAGTGTTGAGTCTATGGCAGTGTTGAGTCTATGGGCAGTGTTGAGTCTATGGGCAGTGTTGAGTCTATGGCAGTGTTGAGTCTATGGGCAGTGTTGAGTCTATGGCAGTGTTGAGTCTATGGTGCAGTGTTGAGTCTATGCAGTGTTGAGTCTATGGTGCAGTGTTGAGTCTATGCAGTGTTGAGTCTATGGTGCAGTGTTGAGTCTATGCAGTGTTGAGTCTATGGTGCAGTGTTGAGTCTATGGCAGTGGAGTCTATGGTGCAGTGTTGAGTCTATGGCAGTGTTGAGTCTATGGTGCAGTGTTGAGTCTATGGTCAGTGTTGAGTCTATGGGCAGTGTTGAGTCTATGCAGTGTTGAGTCTATGGTGCAGTGTTGAGTCTATGGCAGTGTTGAGTCTATGGGCAGTGGAGTCTATGGTGCAGTGTTGAGTCTATGGTGCAGTGTTGAGTCTATGGGCAGTGTTGAGTCTATGGCAGTGTTGAGTCTATGGAGTGTTGAGTCTATGCAGTGTTGAGTCTATGGTGCAGTGTTGAGTCTATGCAGTGTTGAGTCTATGGTGCAGTGTTGAGTCTATGGTGCAGTGTTGAGTCTATGGCAGTGTTGAGTCTATGTGCAGTGTTGAGTCTATGGTGCAGTGTTGAGTCTATGGTGCAGTGTTGAGTCTATGGTGCAGTGTTGAGTCTATGGCAGTGTTGAGTCTATGGTGCAGTGTTGAGTCTATGGACAGTGTTGAGTCTATGGTGCAGTGCTGAGTCTATGGCGCAGTGTTGAGTCTATGGACAGTGTTGAGTCTATGGTGCAGTGCTGAGTCTATGGTGCAGTGTTGAGTCTATGGACAGTGTTGAGTCTATGGTGCAGTGCTGAGTCTATGGACAGTGTTGAGTCTATGGTGCAGTGTTGAGTCTATGGTGCAGTGTTGAGTCTATGGACAGTGTTGAGTCTATGTGCAGTGTTGAGTCTATGGTGCAGTGTTGAGTCTATGGTGCAGTGTTGAGTCTATGGTGCAGTGTTGAGTCTATGGACAGTGTTGAGTCTATGGTGCAGTGTTGAGTCTATGGACAGTGTTGAGTCTATGGTGCAGTGCTGAGTCTATGGTGCAGTGTTGAGTCTATGGACAGTGTTGAGTCTATGGTGCAGTGCTGAGTCTATGGTGCAGTGTTGAGTCTATGGTGCAGTGCTGAGTCTATGGTGCAGTGTTGAGTCTATGGTGCAGTGTTGAGTCTATGGTGCAGTGCTGAGTCTATGGGCAGTGTTGAGTCTATGGTGCAGTGTTGAGTCTATGGTGCAGTGTTGAGTCTATGGTGCAGTGTTGAGTCTATGGTGCAGTGCTGAGTCTATGGTGCAGTGTTGAGTCTATGGGCAGTGTTGGGTATATGGTGCAGTGTTGAGTCTATGGTGCAGTGCTGAGTCTATGGTGCAGTGCTGAGTCTATGGTGCAGTGTTGAGTCTATGGTGCAGTGCTGAGTCTATGGTGCAGTGCTGAGTCTATGGTGCAGTGCTGAGTCTATGGTGCAGTGTTGAGTCAGATATCGAAGCGCAGTGTGTGGCCCCCCAAAAGCTCGGGGCCCGGGGCAACCACCACGATTGGCACCTGCCTCCACCAACGCTAGGAACCCCCGACTCCACCCACACCACCCACCCCCCCCCCTCCTTTATCGCCCGATGTCTGCCACCCTCCTTCGGAACCGTTTCACGCCACCGCGCCGAATCTCGGCCGTCCCGAGTCCGTAGATGACGGGGTTGACCAGCGCCGGGACGATGCAGTGCAATCCCTGCAGGCAGTAGGACACCTCAGCGCCAACGCTGGCGAGGAACGAGATATTGTTGGCGAACGAGAAGAAGACCGAGGCGAAGAACACCCCGACGGCAAGCAAGTGCGTGACGCAGGTTCGAAGCGCCTTCCTCTGGCCCCGGCGGAGTCCCGCCTTGCGGCACTCGAGCAGGATGAGCGCGTAGGCGAGCGCGACGGCGCACGCCGGCAGCACCGTGGCGAGGGCTAGCGTCGCGTAGCCGTAGCGCCGCTGCGTCCCGACGTCGCCGCACGACGTGAACGCCACGGAGTAGAAGCTGCAGTAGACGGCGGCCAGGACCCGCGTGCGGCAGTAGTCGAGGCCCACGAGCAGAGCCACGTTGGGGCACGTGAGGGCGCACGCGGAGGCGGCGACGGCGGCCGAGGCGCGCAGGGCGATGCCGTTGGTCATGAGCGAGCAGTACCTGAGCGGGAAGCCGACGGCGAGGTAGCGGTCGAGCGACATGAGGGCGAGCAGGAAGGCCTGGGCGCGCACCGACACGTGAATGAGGAACATCTGCACGGTGCACTCGGCCATGGAGACGCGCCCGATGCTGTGGCCGCCTCCACCTGCTTCGTCGTCGCCGAGGAGGTTGGCCATGACGCGCGGCACGCTGCTGGCCACCTGGACGATGTCGGTGAGCGCCAGGGATGCGATGAAGGTGCACATGGGGGTGCGGAGGCGCCTTTCGAGGCACACGACGAAGCAGAGGAGCGCGTTGCCCGCCACGGCGGCGGTGAAAAGGAGGAAGAGCGTGCCAACGAGCGAGAGGCGGACGCTCGGAGGGTCTCCGAAGGGGGTGACCATGACGATGAGGTCCGAGGGGGGAAGGGCAGGAGGAGCGATGGACGAGGAGTTTGACGACGCCATCTGTTGGTTGGCCTGTGCAGTTGTTCGTACGTCCATCCAGAGGGTTGTGTTCTGTGCAAACGAAAACGCACGAATGTTGACATCACCTTTTTTAAAAATCGTTTATTAAATCCTTTATATTAAGTTCGCTTACTTGCTTGCTTGCTTGATGGTGGCAGACAATCATCTGACCCATAGGTGGCAGCCATCTCAAGCCAGAGGACGAGAGGACTCTGGCCGCCACGCATATAAAGGATTTATATTGAAAAACTTTGTTTTTACGGGTTAATTATATGAAGATTGCTTGCTTGCTTGCGTGCTTGCGTGCTTGCTTGCTTGCTTGCTTACGACCGTGCAAATCTTTCGGTCGTTTTTAACACACTTCCCGTGATCCAATCGAGCTGACATTTTTCACACAGACTCGTTGTGCGTGACAATTAATTTTCGTGAACATTTTTTTCAAAAATTTTACACTGTTTAGGGAATTTTTTAAAAATATTTAATTACCAATTGCTTAATGCTGCAGACAATCATCTGACCCATAGGTGGCAGCCATCTCAAGCCAGAGGACGAGAGGACTCTAGCCGCCACGCATATAAAGGATTTAGAGTGAAAAACTTTGTTTTTACCGGTAAAATTTTTTTCTACTCGCTCCAATTAGATAGCGTGACGAGAAAAATGGCTTCTTCACAATTCTGGCTCATGACCAGCGGAACGTCGCGGTATTCAAATTGTAAATGTTGCATCATCATCGCCGGCATCATATTGTCAATGTTTTTTGTGGGGTTTTTCTCTTTCTCTCCAACACAAAGACAAAGATCCTCTGTATAGCCTTAACAGACTGTTGGGGAAAGTGCTGCTAGCGAGCACCTATGAAGGTCGACACGTGGCACATGAGGGGGTGAAAGGGCAGCACTACGACCGGTCGCCATTGCCTTCCCATTGGCGATGTTTACACACTGATTTGAGGCTGAGTCAACCTATGGGGAGGCCCAGGACTGGTTAGGATAATCGTCACTGGTGTTGGCCGAAAGTGGGAATTGAACTCAGCTCACTGGGTTCGTAGCGCAGCGCACTAACCGCTAAACTACCGCTCCGCACACACAAACATCACCGGTTCAGTGCCTGAAATAGAAATCTCGATTGGCCACGTGTTGTTTATGTGACACAAACCCCATTTTAACTGATTGGCCGTGTCGGCTAGTGGTGGTGGCAGGCTTTTGATGACACAACGTTTATCTTTAACGGAGTGAGGTCACCAACGTGAGGTTAGCATGAATGCCGGGTAAGGCGGGTCCTCGCTTAACACGCGTGGTGATCACTGCTTTAATACTGCCTATAGGCTCAGCACTGCCCATAGACTCGGCATTGCCCATAAACTCAACACTGTACCATAGACTGAACACTGCCCATAGACTCAATACTGCGCATGGACTCAACACTGCACCATAAACTCAACACTGCCCATAGATTTAACGCTACCCATAGACTCGACACTGCCCATAGACTGAACACTGCCTGATAGACTCAACACTGCACATAGATTCAACACTGCATCATAAACTCAACACTGCCCATAGAAGTAACACTTCAACATACAACACTGCAACGTAGACTCAACGCTGCACCATAGACTCAACACTGAACCATAAACTCAACACTGTGCCATAGACGCAACACTTCCCATAGACTCAACACTGCCTATAGACTCAACACTGCCCATAGACTCAACACTGCCCATAGATTAAACGCTGCCCATAGACTCAACACTGCCCATAGACTCAACACTGTCCATAGACACAACACTGCACCATAGACTCAATACTGCACCATATATTCAGCACTGCACTATAAACTCAATATCACCAGTAGACCCAGCACTGCACAATTGACTTAACACTGTACAATAGAATAAAAACTGCAAAATAGACTCAACACTACCCATAAACTCAACACTGCACCATCGACTAAACACTGCCCATAGACTCAACACTGCACCGTAGACTCAACATTGCACCATAGACTGAACACTGCCCCTAGACCCAACACTGCACCATAAACTGGACACTGCATGATAGATTCAACACTGCACCATAGACTCAACACTGCACCATCGACTGAACATTGCACCATAGACTCAACATTGCACCGCAGATTCAACACTACACTATAGACTCAGCACTGCCCATAGGCTCAACACTGCACCATAGACTCAACACTGCACCATAGACTCAACACTGCACCATATACTCAACACTGCACCATAGACTCAACACTGCACCATAGACTCAACACTGCACCATCGACTCAAACCTGCACCATAGACTCAACACTGCACCATAGACTCAACACTGCACCATATACTCAACACTTCCATTCGGGAACACTTCGCATAATGTGGAACACTCGCACTGTTATCTGGGTTTGACCACCTGAATGTGACATTGTATTCGTTTTTGTCTCTACAGCTCCATCAGCAGCTGTACAAAATAATAACTCATAGAGACCCATAGAGATCCATAGACTCATAGAGACCCATAGAGATCCATAGAATAATAGATACCCAGAGAGATTCATAGATAACCATAGACTCATATGGATCCATTGAGATCCATATACTCATAGAGACCCATAGAGATCCATAGAATAATAGATACCCAGAGAGATCCATAGAAATCAATAGACTCAAATAGATCCATTGAGATCCATAGACTCAAAGAGACCCAGATAAATCTTTAGATCCATAGACTAACAGACATCACATGCGATGATTCACTTCTCCACTACTGCTCCTGACGCAGTTGTCATCTCGACTTGACCACCTGAATGTGACGTTGTAGTCGTTGTTGTCTCTGCAATCGACATCGGCAGCCGCACGGAAGAAGAAGAATAAGGATTCATCTTCTTGGTTCTTTCGGTAAAGTCACGTAGAAGGGAAGTAATAAAATAATATAAATAGAACATAACAAAATAAATATTATATTATATTATTTTATTATATGATATTACTATGTTTTATTTTTATTATTTTATTACTTCCCTTCTACGTGACTTTACCGAAAGAACCAAGAAGATGAATCCCTGCAGTCACGAAAGCTTTAAATCGAAAAAGAATAAGGAGATCGCATTGCGTCTCTGGAAACGGTTGCTGATGCCCTGCCCTAACTCAGGACAGAAATGATCCAATGGGGCCACGGTAGACGCTGTAACCTGAGAAGATGAAGAAGTTACATTTCCATGACAGCCTCACTGACGAACGAAGGCTATCGCCCAAACCGCTGCAGCCTTCTCAGCCATTCCGCGATGTGAATTGACCGGGCGCATGGCGGGCGGTCTGCCCAATGTGCGCACAAAGACAAAGATCCACCCCCCCCCCACTCCCCGTGTAGCCTCTAACAGGCTGTTGGGGCAAGTGCTGTTAGCGAGCAGCACCTGTGAAGGCTACCGGCACTGTGGCACACGAGGGGGTGGGTGGCCAGCACCACGCCCGGCCGCCTTTGTCTCCCCCCCACCCCCCCCCCCTGGACAGAGGTCGCAACCGGGTACCCGATACCCGTACCCTACCCGATACCCGGCTACCCGTACCCGACCAGGTACGTGTACCCGTTTGCGACCCTGGTGTGGCCGGGTACGGGTAGACCGTGAGTCACTGGTGAGTAACTGTTTGTCACTCATTTCCCAACATCTTGTATCTTCTCACAATTCAAGTTCCTAGAATCAACCCACCCGCGCCTGCAACATGGCTTCATCCCAGAGGTCGCAATCAGGTACCCGATACCCGTACCATACCCGTACCTGGCCGGGTACGGGTAGGGTACGGGTACGGGTGCGGGTACCCGTTTGCGACCCTGGTGCGGCCGGGTACGGGTACGGGTAAGGAATCAAAACCCGTTTGCGACCTCTGCCCCTGGAGCAAGGTACTCAATTGTTGCTGAGTCGACCTTTGGGGATGCCCAGGACGCGTTCAGACAATGGTATCTGGTATCGGTGGCCGTGGGCGGGAATGGAACTCTGGTTGACCAGGGTTCGCAGCGCCGCGTAGCGCTGACCGCTACACTACCGCTCCTTTTTCACTCGAACACAACAAGACAAAGACCCCCCCCCCCACACACACACCCCCGTGTAGCCTCGACAGACTGTTGGGGCAAGTGCTGTTAGCGAGCAGCACCTGTGAAGGCCGTCACGGTGGCACACGAAGGCGGTGGGTGTCCAATACCACGTCCCGGCCGCCTTTGTCTCCCTCTAGTGGCGATACTGACCCGATCCAGGGGAGGCACAGGACCGGTTCAAACAATACAACACGTGCTCTTCACCCTGCAGTCGCGTCCAAACACGCAAAACAACATACTACTAATAACAACAACAATGCTACGAATAACAACAACAACACAAACAACACTATCAAAAACGACACTACAAATAACAACACTACGAATAATAGCAATACTAACAACACATACACCAGAGGTCGCAAACGGGTTTTGATTCCTTACCCGTACCCGTACCCGGCCGCACCAGGGTCGCAAACGGGTACCCGTACCCGACCTCTGGAATGAAGCCATGTTGCAGGCGCGGGTGGGTTGATTCTAGGAACTTGAATTGTGAGAAGAGACAAGACGTTGGGAAATGAGTGACAACCGGTTACTCACCAGTGACTCACGGTCTACCTGTACCCGTACCCGGCTGCACCAGGGTCGCAAACGGGTACCCGTACCCGTACCCGGCCGGGTACGGGTAGCCGGGTATCGGGTAGGGTACGGGTATCGGGTACTCGGTTGCGACCTCTGACATACACTACAACACTAAGAATAACATACACTTACAACACTAAGAATAAAAACACTACTAACAACAACACTACGAATAATAGCAATACTAACAACACATACACTACAAATTACAACACTAAGAATAAAAACACTACTAATAAAAACACTACGAATAATAGCAATACTAACAACACATACACTACTAATTACAACACTAAGAATAATAGCAATACTAACAACACATACACTACG